CTCCCATCTGCAGGGGTCACCGCCGCACACGAGGTCATCAATGGCTGTGCCCCATATACACTGCATCCTCCCCCCCCCCCTTCCTCCTCCTCGTTATACTCCCCTAACGCGCCTGCCATTTAATGCCCGCCAAAGAGGCGTCAACTTAGTTTCGGCGGTGAATGATGAGGAGGTCGATGTGATATTGGCGCCGAAACAAAATGAACCACAACCGAGCGCCCGAGTCGGCCCTCCACTCGAGCCAGAGAGGACCGACCGAAGGACAGCGGGAGGGGGTAAGGGGGAGGGATGGGGCTCTCAGCTGCTCAGCCAAAACCCTGGGCGTCCGGCGATAGAGGCTGCCCCACAGTGTCCACTCCACTGCCAGGGTTCTCTTCAGTTTCGTACAAAACCCTGTAAACTTTTCTCTCGTGGGTCTCACATAAGTAAACTCCCTCAGGACGCGGCCCTGGACCTCAAAGAAAAACAAGAGGCATGGTAATAGTTTCACATAATGGACTGGATTGTACAACGCAGCAGCTACAATTTGATACTTTACCACCACTGGCTCCCAGGAATGTCTGGAGTGCAGTTTGAGCCTCCTTGTTTCCAGATAACAATACTGCAATTACAAAAAGCATGGTATCAGTTCTCATTGCTAGTAAGCAGTCATAAACTCTTTTTGAAGTTGAGGAAGGTCGTATTCATGCTGTAACCCAGTCTGCATCGATCAAATTGATCTCGATGAGGATCTCGACATACAAAGTATTTGCTGACATTACTATATGAAATATGATATAAATAGGTGCCTGAGTATAATGTTATTAACCAGTGGCGTATGCTGAAAGTTTGATGACCAAAACTTATCGTTTTCATGAAAAGCATTTAAATGAATGTGATAGGTTGGCCTTATCAACTTAAGGGAGACAGCAGAACAGCAGAAGCGCACAACCGCAGAAGAGCACAACCGCACATCGGGCGCATGATTGCCTTTACGCCGTAAAACCGTGTTTGATGCTGTTTTATGCGTTTTCCTGACAATTAAAATATTAAAAATGAAATTTACGGCGTAAAGGCACTCATGCGACCGATGTGCGGTTGTGCTGTTCTGCGGTTGTGCGGTTCTGCTGTTCTGCTGTCTCCCTTAAGTTGATAAGGCCGTTATGATCAACAGTTAATCGTCAATGTGTTACTTAACTTACCGAACAATAGTGCGCAGAAGACAAATAAAAAGGTTCCGGTCTGCTCCGGCCGTAGGAGGCACAAGACAACAGTCGCTGCTGTCAGGCATATTATTACAAATACAAGCCACGGGCTAATCTTATTGTCATCACTGGAAAGAGAAAGAAAGAGGTGTGTAAAATGCTTAGGAAAGGAAATAAAATAAAATGAATTGGAAATTTCGATTCAGTATCAATTAAAAGACTCGCATGTTTCATTTTAACTCTCACTGCCAGCTGATAGTGAGACCAGCCTCCCACTATCGAAGCACGGGCAGCATGGGAGGATGGGGTGATGGACCCATGGATGGACCATATCACTTACGATAATTTATCGGCCGCATCCTTGGCGGGAGGGGGCGGGGGGGGGCAGTTACAGCACCGACCCCGGCTCCGGCTCCGGCTACGGCTAGTCTGCATAATTAGTTAATATTATATCTATTCCTACACGACCAAGACGGATGGAGACGGCAAGGAGAGCTGCAGGCTAGTGGGTGGCGCGACACCCTCCCAGTCTGCACCACTGGTAACGGGATCAAGTAAACTATTGGGGAAACCGAGTGTTCCGTTCGAATCTCAAAAGTTAGCCGGTTGTAAGGGAATCGACGGTTTTTCCATACATCCTAGCATCTGGTGGGTATTTCCCAGTAAAAGTGGTCCCCTGCCGGGGCCCGAGGTTCGTCGGAGTTGTGGAGAAGAAAACAAGAAGAAGACTCTATCGTTCTGTCGTCTGCTGCGAGACAGGCAGAAATACTTCTTGATATAACAAATCCACGCAGGCTCGTCCAACCCCCGGAATAGTTCTAATGCAACCAGCAATGATCAAATAATCTGAGAGAATAGAGTTTTAGTGAACACCAGTTATATTAAGCGTGTAAAGCGTGCACATCGGGAAAACTTGTCGGGCGGAAGCCTCCGACGGAGCTCGGGACCGGATATGGGCCTGTATCTACTCCAGATACAGTGGTCTGGCGGCTACTTCAGATTTCATTCGTACGGTTGCCAACCTGAGCAGGTTGAAACTTATATTTAAGCTCTTGTGACAACGCATATACATAGCTTTAGACAACTCTGCTTTCGTCGAAACGATAGAAAACTTGATTGCATAGCGAAAGCAAATGAAAGTCATTCAAATGTGCCCATTGTGACTCAATGAGAGGATGTATATGGTGTTGCAGTGTTGTCAACGTGGAGCTGGCCTACGTGTACCGTCTGTACCGACGTGTACGCAGTTGTTTAGGTCTTTGTTTAGCTTTGCTTTAGATTGTTCTTGAATCTGCTGAGAAAATTAAAGTTCGAAATATGGTACCACTATATCTGTGTCCTTTAGCCCTGCTCTCTCAGCTGTGGGGTGCAGTTTCCTGGAAAGCCATGGAATTATCCTACTGGCTGGCGAAATATCAACTGACGTGAGTATTTATAGGCTCTACTGCATTTCTAACCTCATGGTTGTGCATTATTCTATCTCTGCATTCTTAAAACTGGCCTCATTCTCCGGCACCTAGTTTTCTCTTCCAAAAAAAAAATCTTTAAATTAAACTTTCTGTTTTTCATCCAGGATGGCTGTGGTTCACCAGATGCTGTATTTAGTCATCGCACTTGGAATGGTCGTGCCTCTTCACATTACCCCATGGTAAAAAGCCTAAGTATTCTACCTGCTTCTTTTTATTTCTCCTGTCCATCCTATTTGATCTGTTTGTTTGTTTTATGTTGTCAGGATCTTATTCATCTCTGGCATTAGTATTCTTACATTGTCTACATACAATGAAGACGTTGCGAAAAAACTACTTGAATACACGTAAGTTGTAGCATTTAAGCTGAAATATAATCCCTATGCCTCTACTAGGTTAAAATGTGTTCTGTTTCTCTGCAGGTCTGTTACCTTTCCGACCATTCAAGCACTAACGACAACTACCCTTCTATCAGTTATGATCAGAAATACCCAGGAGAGGTTGTGCCTATCCTCCTAAACCCGGAGTTGAAAGAAGAAGAAGTTGAATTCATTGTGTACCGTCAATCATTGCATGTAAATCAATGCACCTTATAACCCATTGAATTTCCAAAGTTAAGTTCTAAGCTGACATTTCTACCCCTGTGTCACCTTTTGATGGGGCTTCTGATGCTTGTTATCATCCTGAGAAAGAAAGTTGCTGAATAAATTCATAGATTGTAAATATTTTTAACATATAGAACTAGATGCCTGAAGGGATTATTGACGAGTCTTACAATCTTCTCGTCAGTCAACGAATTTCGGATGAGAAACCAGTTTGACAAGTCCGTGTGCGTGCTCGTCGCAGCCACCGGCCCGGGCGCGGTGCAAAGCAGTACCTTCTTTTAGCGGGCCTGACAGCCTGAACGAGTGCAGCCAGCGGCTTGGCTCTTGGTACCCGAAAAGATGAAGGATATGCCCTTCTCTGACCTTGGGGGCGACCGTCGGATTCCACCCCGCTTTGTCGCTAGGGGGGCGTAAACTTAGGGGATGGTTTTGAACAAATTCACACATTTTGGGCTGCTGCGCGAAAACGAAACGTCCTACCGCGTTCCAATTTTGATCACAGGTGCATCTCATGACCCCCTAAGCTGCTGTGAAGCAGATTTGCCACCACTCTCCCCTGAGGGGCGTAAGTGCCACAGGGGTGGTCACCCCTACACTAAGGGTAGTTTTTGAAAATCAGCGCGTTTTCCACCGGGGACTTTCTCAGTGCGTCCTACACATTGTCAACTGAAGTTTCCAGACTTTTCCAGGCCTCCTTAGTGTGAACAGGCAGGCCCGCCCTTCCGCCAAACAAAGTTGCCAGCTCCGCTTCGCTCCGCCGGCAACTCCGTTCGGCAGGGGCCGGGCCTGCTTGGCCTGCCGGCGGCGATGCGGCCCGACCATTTCCGTCATGCGATTTGCTGAAGAACATAATCGACTAGTGTAGCGGGCCTTCGGCCCGTCATCTTTGAGTTTGCCCCAAAGACTCGAGGTAGGGATGTAACGGTGAAACACCGCGACTACAACCCACCCTTCTGCTTAGAAAACGTTTTTTGGGGGTGGGGGGAGAGTTTCCTCTCTGTTTTGCGGTTTTTAGGCCCTTTCTACATCTTATTGTTCACTATGGCAATTTTTAGCTTATTTCGTCTAAAAAGACTCTCTAGCGCGTAAACGGTTAGAGAAAAAGCAAAACGGACGAAATTTTCGCCCAAAGGGCTCTACTTTCACAAGTTACCCCTTAGGAAATCATAAAAAAAAAACTAACTTTTTTGGCCTTTTCTGTTTTCTTCGATACCCCCTTTCAGCCCCTTAGGGGTGGCTGACAGGATTTGCCGTAGGCGTTTTGTTTTGTGGGAGT